CCCTGGAGGCTAGTGGTTGTAGCCCCTGGTGGCTAGTGGTTGTAGCCCCCTGGAGGCTAGTGGTTGTAGCCCCTGGAGGCTAGTGGTTGTAGCCCCTGGAGGCTAGTGGTTGTAGCCCCCTGGAGGCTAGTGGTTGTAGCCCCCTAGTGGTTGTAGCCCCTGGAGGCTAGTGGTTGTAGCCCCCTGGAGGCTAGTGGTTGTAGCCCCTGGAGGCAAGTGGTTGTAGCCCCCTGGAGGCTAGTGGTTGTAGCCCCTGGAGGCTAGTGGTTGTAGCCCCCTGGAGGCTAGTGGTTGTAGCCCCCTGGAGGCAAGTGGTTGTAGCCCCCTGGAGGCTAGTGGTTGTAACCCCTGGAGGCTAGTGGTTGTAGCCCCTGGAGGCTAGTGGTTGTAGCCCCCCTGGAGGCTAGTGGTTGTAGCCCCTGGAGGCTAGTGGTTGTAGCCCCCTGGAGGCTAGTGGTTGTAGCCCCCTAGTGGAGGCTAGTGGTTGTAGCCCCCTGGAGGCTAGTGGTTGTAGCCCCTGGAGGCTAGTGGTTGTAGCCCCCTGGAGGCTAGTGGTTGTAGCCCCTGGAGGCTAGTGGTTGTAGCCCCCTGGCTAGTGGTTGTAGCCCCTGGAGGCTAGTGGTTGTAGCCCCCTGGAGGCTAGTGGTTGTAGCCCCTGGAGGCTAGTGGTTGTAGCCCCCTGGAGGCTAGTGGTTGTAGCCCCTGGAGGCTAGTGGTTGTAGCCCCTGGAGGCTAGTGGTTGTAGCCCCTGGAGGCTAGTGGTTGTAGCCCCCTGGAGGCTAGTGGTTGTAGCCCCTGGAGGCTAGTGGTTGTAGCCCCCTGGAGGCTAGTGGTTGTAGCCCCTGGAGGCTAGTGGTTGTAGCCCCCTGGAGGCTAGTGGTTGTAGCCCCTGGAGGCTAGTGGTTGTAGCCCCCTGGAGGCTAGTGGTTGTAGCCCCTGGAGGCTAGTGGTTGTAGCCCCCTGGAGGCTAGTGGTTGTAGCCCCTGGAGGCTAGTGGTTGTAGCCCCCCTGGAGGCTAGTGGTTGTAGCCCCTGGAGGCTAGTGGTTGTAGCCCCCTGGAGGCTAGTGGTTGTAGCCCCTGGAGGCTAGTGGTTGTAGCCCCCTGGAGGCTAGTGGTTGTAGCCCCTGGAGGCTAGTGGTTGTAGCCCCTGGAGGCTAGTGGTTGTAGCCCCTGGAGGCTAGTGGTTGTAGCCCCTGGAGGCTAGTGGTTGTAGCCCCCTGGAGGCTAGTGGTTGTAGCCCCTGGAGGCTAGTGGTTGTAGCCCCCTGGAGGCTAGTGGTTGTAGCCCCTGGAGGCTAGTGGTTGTAGCCCCCCCTGGAGGCTAGTGGTTGTAGCCCCTGGAGGCTAGTGGTTGTAGCCCCCTGGAGGCTAGTGGTTGTAGCCCCTGGAGGCTAGTGGTTGTAGCCCCTGGAGGCTAGTGGTTGTAGCCCCTGGAGGCTAGTGGTTGTAGCCCCTGGAGGCTAGTGGTTGTAGCCCCTGGAGGCTAGTGGTTGTAGCCCCCCCTGGAGGCTAGTGGTTGTAGCCCCTGGAGGCTAGTGGTTGTAGCCCCCTGGAGGCTAGTGGTTGTAGCCCCTGGAGGCTAGTGGTTGTAGCCCCCTGGAGGCTAGTGGTTGTAGCCCCTGGAGGCTAGTGGTTGTAGCCCCCTGGAGGCTAGTGGTTGTAGCCCCTGGAGGCTAGTGGTTGTAGCCCCTGGAGGCTAGTGGTTGTAGCCCCTGGAGGCTAGTGGTTGTAGCCCCTGGAGGCTAGTGGTTGTAGCCCCTGGAGGCTAGTGGTTGTAGCCCCTGGAGGCTAGTGGTTGTAGCCCCTGGAGGCAAGTGGTTGTAGCCCCTGGAGGCTAGTGGTTGTAGCCCCTGGAGGCTAGTGGTTGTAGCCCCTGGAGGCTAGTGGTTGTAGCCCCTGGAGGCTAGTGGTTGTAGCCCCCTGGAGGCTAGTGGTTGTAGCCCCTGGAGGCTAGTGGTTGTAGCCCCCCTGGAGGCTAGTGGTTGTAGCCCCTGGAGGCTAGTGGTTGTAGCCCCCTGGAGGCTAGTGGTTGTAGCCCCTGGAGGCTAGTGGTTGTAGCCCCTAGCCCCTGGAGGCTAGTGGTTGTAGCCCCCTGGAGGCTAGTGGTTGTAGCCCCTGGAGGCTAGTGGTTGTAGCCCCTGAAGGCTAGTGGTTGTAACCCCCTGGAGGCTAGTGGTTGTAGCCCCCTGGTGGCTAGTGGTTGTAGCCCCTGGAGGCTAGTGTTGTAGCCCCCTGGAGGCTAGTGGTTGTAGCCCCCTGGAGGCTAGTGGTTGTTAGAGCCCCCCTTGAGGCTAGTGGGTTGTAGCCCCTGGAGGCTAGTGGTTGTAGCCCCCTGGAGGCTAGTGGTTGTAGCCCCTGGAGGCAAGTGGTTGTAGCCCCTGGAGGCTAGTGGTTGTAGCCCCTGGAGGCTAGTGGTTGTAGCCCCTGGAGGCTAGTGGTTGTAGCCCCGGGGCAAGTGTTGTAGCCCCCTGGAGCAAGTGGTTGTAGCCTCCTGGAGGCTAGTGTTTGTAGCCCCTGGAGGCTAGTGGTTGTTAGCCCCTGGAGGCTAGTGGTTGTAGCCCCCTGGAGGCTAGTGGTTTGTAGCCCCTGGAGGCTAGTGTTGTAGCCCCCCCTGGAGAGCTAGTGGTTGTAGCCCCTGGAGGCTAGTGGTTGTAGCCCCTGGAGGCTAGTGGTTGTGAGCCCCCTGGAGGCTAGTGGTTGTAGCCCCTGGAGGCTAGTGGTTGTAGCCCCTGGAGGCTAAGTGGTTGTAGCCCCTGGAGGCTAGTGTTTGTAGCCCCTGGAGGCAAGTGGTTTGTAGCCCCTGGAGGCTAGTGGTTGTAGCCCCTGGAGGCTAGTGGTTGTAGCCCCCTGGAGGCTAGTGGTTGTAGCCCCTGGAGGCTAGTGGTTGTAGCCCCTGGAGGCTAGTGGTTGTAGCCCCTGGAGGCTATTGGTTGTAGCCCCCTGGAGGCAAGTGGTTGTAGCCCCTGGAGGCTAGTGGTTGTAGCCCCCTGGAGGCTAGTGGTTGTAGCCCCTGGAGGCTAGTGGTTTGTAGCCCCTGGAGGCAAGTGGTTGTAGCCCCTGGAGGCTAGTGGTTGTAGCCCCTGGAGGCAAGTGGTTGTAGCCCCTGGAGGCTAGTGGTTGTAGCCCCTGGAGGCTAGTGGTTGTAGCCCCCTGGAGGCAATTAATTGTAGTCCTTGAAGGCACCTGGCTGTATGTCCTTGGAAGTAAGTTATTAAAATCCAAGTGGAAGAGGATGGAGTTGTTGTTGTAATCTACAACAAACTGTTTGAGATTCTGAGGAAACACAGTCGAGGATGATGTGGAGCGGAGGCCCCTGCGGAGGCTCCCAGGGGACTAGATCACAAGTTCAGGGATCGCGGGGGGATTACTTGATGGAAACTCTTGTCCAAAGTTCGGGTACACTTTTAAGGAAGTGTTGGGCACCGCGAGCAAAGTTGTTAGATTTTCTGGAAGGTTGTAAAAGGGAAGAGAGAGAGAGAGAGAGAGAGAGAGAGAGAGAGAGAGAGAGAGAGAGAGAGAGAGAGAGAGAGAGAGAGAGAGAGAGAGAGAGAGAGAGAGAGAGAGAGCAGGTGGAGCCAAGGAAGAGATTTTAAAGTCCGAGTTTCTCTTCCACTGGAAGACTGATCTAACAACTGAAGGGGGAAAAGCTTAACAACACCCGATGGAGAATTTGGAATGAACGGGAGGTCCTCGGCGCTGATGGCGGGAGAAACGGAAAGGATAAGAAAGAAACGAAGGAAGGGAAAGATTTGGAGATAGAAAGGCAGAAAGAAGGAAGACGGGGAAGAAAAAGAAGATCAAAGACAAGAGAAGGCCGGGCATAGCGTGTCTCCACGGTCCCTCCATTATCTCAAACATGCGGAGACACAAAAGAATCTCGGCTCCTTTACTCAGGGCGCCCCAGAATTAGCTGTCTATTTCTATGAGCTCTGACGGATCCATTAAAACACTCCATAATTTCATGTTTGTACCTAATTACTGAGTTGTTCCACAAAGTCTACCCACCTTGCAGCTCGATTTGAATAATTTTCTTCATTCCAAGCATGCAGTATATGAATGCGATAAGCCTTTTGTATCAGTCTCGAACGCTAGATTCCATGAACTATTGTCTTGGATATGTTGAGTACTCGACTGGCGTCCCTAACCGAGGTTGTTAGCTCGACCCGTCCTCACAGCATATCTATTACCATCAGAGACCACACCCCCTCCTTTCAAACCACCTGGATAGTTATCTAAATATTTGTGATGATCTGAGAGCACATTACGGTTTCAGTGATAGTCTACTTGTTAACCGGCAAACGAACCATTGGCATAAACAGAGAATATTCTCAAGTTACAGCGTTATTGTATTTTAAATCGTTGGTTTAAAATATTTAAAGAGTATGCTGATAACATTTTCTTTGATAAATTTGGTTTTCTGTAAACTGAATTCACGGACAAACTTAAATAATTTTTTTAATTCCATATTTCACATTATCGTTAAAAATATTCACATTATCGTTAAAAATACACCGTATTAACGTAACCAAACGTAATGAAACCTAACCTGACATAACCAAATCTTAACTTAAAGTAACCTTAACCCACCCTAACCATGGGTAGAGAATCGATAATAGCGCCAATTACATAGTTGTTCCCAATCCATTCCCTTGAGTGGATCGGCTTCCTGAGGACAGGTCGTTAACCCTCCGCCAACACCTGTAGTTGTTGTCCTTCAGTACTGTCGCGTTCTGCCCCTGGGCGTTCTGCCCCCGGGCGTTCTGCCCCCAGGGCGTTCTGCCCCCAGGGCGTTCTGCCCCCAGGGCGTTCTGCTCCCGGGCGTTCTGCCCCCAGGGCGTTCTGCCCCCAGGGCGTTCTGCCCCCAGGGCGTTCTGCCCCCAGGGCGTTCTGCCCCAGGGCGTTCTGCCCCAGGGCGTTCTGCCCCCAGGGCGTTCTGCCCCCAGGGCGTTCTGTCCCCAGGGCGTTCTGCCCCAGGGCGTTCTGCCTCAGAGCGTTCTGACCCCAGGGCGTTCTGTCCTTGTGCGTTCTGCCCCCAGGGCGTTCTGCCCCAGGGCGTTCTGCCCCTGGGCGTTCTGCCCCCAGGGCGTTCTGCCCCCAGGGCGTTCTGCCCCAGGGCGTTCTGCCCCTGGGCGTTCTGCCCCCAGGGCGTTCTGCCCCCAGGGCGTTCTGCCCCCAGGGCGTTCTGTCCCAGGGCGTTCTGCCCCCAGGGCGTTCTGTCCCAGGGCGTTCTGCCCCAGGGCGTTCTGCCCCAGGGCGTTCTGCCCCTGGGCGTTCTGCCCCCAGGGCGTTCTGCCCCAGGGCGTTCTGCCCAGGGCGTTCTGCCCCTGGGCGTTCTGCCCCAGAGCGTTCTGCCCCCAGGGCGTTCTGTCCCAGGGCGTTCTGCCCCCAGGGCGTTCTGCCCCAGGGCGTCCTACCCCAGGGCGTTCTGCCCCAGAGCGTTCTGCCCCCAGGGCGTTCTGCCCCAGGGCGTTCTGCCCCCAGGGCGTTCTGTCCCCAGGGCGTTCTGCCCCAGGGCGTTCTGCCTCAGAGCGTTCTGACCCCAGGGCGTTCTGCCCCCAGGGCGTTCTGCCCCAGGGCGTTCTGCCCCTGGGCGTTCTGCCCCCGGGCGTTCTGCCCCCAGGGCGTTCTGCCCCAGGGCGTTCTGCCCCAGGGCGTTCTGCCCCCAGGGCGTTCTGCCCCCAGGGCGTTCTGCCCCAGGGCGTTCTGCCCCAGGGCGTTCTGCCCCTGGGCGTTCTGCCCCCAGGGCGTTCTGCCCCCAGGGCGTTCTGCCCCCAGGGCGTTCTGCCCACAGGGCGTTCTGCCCACAGGGCGTTCTGCCCACAGGGCGTT